TCTTAATAGCTTTTCGGAAGGCCATGAGAGTGGGTAGGGTCAATCCAGAGGTCAACAGCCCCAAGCCTGCCAGAATAGCCAGGTCTTAATAGCTTTTCGGAAGGCCATGAGAGTGGGTAGGGTCAATCCAGAGGTCAACAGCCCCAAGCCTGCCAGAATAGCCAGGTCTTAATAGCTTTTCGGAAGGCCATGAGAGTGGGTAGGGTCAATCCAGAGGTCAACAGCCCCAAGCCTGCCAGAATAGCCAGGTCTTAATAGCTTTTCGGAAGGCCATGAGAGTGGGTAGGGTCAATCCAGAGGTCAACAGCCCCAAGCCTGCCAGAATAGCCAGGTCTTAATAGCTTTTCGGAAGGCCATGAGAGTGGGTAGGGTCCGGACAAGCCAATGGTGAAATTCAATTTTTTTTACTACTGGTTTTGTGGGCGTGGCTTGGTGGTGGTAGTCCTGTGACTCAGTCACATGCCCTGCCACCACCAAGCTACCTCCACAGTGGCCAGTAGGAAAAAATGTGTGTATGAGTCTATTCACAGCGGAGCTACTGCTCCCTTTATGGTCCCGCCTGGCCCCCTCCCTCCCGCCGGTCGAAGTACCTTAAAGGGACATGCTGCTGCAGCTCTGCTGTGAATAGAAGGAGAAACGTGTGGATTGTCTTCGAACCAGGTCCTTAATAGCTGCAGGAATTTGTTGGCGTCCTCAAGTTTAGGAGCCTCCTCATCATGCAGTTGGGCAAACCACTTGGCCGCTTTGCCATGTTGTCAGCAATGGCTGAAATCATTGTGTCAGTCCTAGAGGCCATATTTTTCTTTGGATCTTCAGGACTGCCACACAATGCTGTGGGAAAACGGGAAGCAGGTTGCATGGAGCTGGTGGAGATATATAGTCATAATAAGATTCTTTTCTCTGGTAGTCAAAGACGTTCAGCCTTCACCTGGGGAAAATCTCCAGTTGGGACGGTGGATTGATTGGACCACGTGATGGACATGTGGGTGCAGGAGAAGGGACTTTGACTTTCCTTTGGGTGGGGAAAACCCTAGGGCTTTCAGATTTGGATTTTCCCAGATGTGCCAATATAATATCTCTAATAAAATGGAATTTTGAAGAACTGCTGGCCTTAGATGGGGGTGTTACTTGGAACCCTGACACCTTTCTTGATCGAACTGGTACTGGGCTCCATAGCAATCAAGGTGGGACAAAATCCAATTCACAAAGTACACTAGCTTTTCGAGATTCCCATCAAAAGTGGTTCTGAAGTGGGGGAATGCTGCTGGGATACTGCTGGCAGCTGAGCTGAGACCACCTAGGGAATGGGGGCTGGCAGGTTGGTATCCACTGGCACTGGGACCACTCCTGTCCAGGGTAGTATGCCCAGCCCAGCTCAGAGGGATCTGGTCTGCTGGTGGTAGCCTAAGAGGTGGATGATGAGCCGGACTACCTGGCCTCAGTAGACCATGGCCAAATGTTGTAGGCCCAGGCTGGATTGGCCTAGGAGCCCTGGCTGTTGGCTGACAGCTGTCTCTGGTTGAGCTGTCAGTCCAGTAGATCAGGTCTGTTGAGGGAGGCTTAGACACGATCCGCACCACGCTGAGTGAAAGAAAGAGGAAATCCCACTCTGAGCAGTCACACTCCCCTGGCCAGGGAAGATGAAGGTTGGCTGGGCCAGGACCATGACAGGCTGGCCAGCTGGGGGTTGCTGGCCCAAGCTGCTGATGCTCAGCTGGCTGAATCTCTCTGGCAGCCCGTCCAGGGGGTGGCTCCTTTTTTTCCTTAAGTTTTATTGGATTTTTATTTTTAAACATATATTAACATCAATAGATGAACAGTATGGCCTCTGGGTATGGTTCATGTTATTACAAATAGCAATAGTCAATTTTTACATTAATCAAACTTATACAATCCTAATATTAATGTACACGATTATTTTAAAGTAGTTATTCAATATTTCAGTGTTCCATTCTAATGCTAATGATCTTCTTAAACACATATAGTAATGCCACCTTTCAACCTCTCGTCTTTCCATCTAATTATTGCTTATATTCAATTTATATAGAAATTATATCTACTAATATTCCCCTTATTTCTTATTTAAGCCTCTATTCTGACTTCTGCTCTTACTAATGCTAATTACAGAATTACATCTATTTCTATATTGCATTTTCCTCATTTTAAACATAACATTTTTTTTTACCGATGGTACTTCAAATGGTTCCCCTTTTACTCCCACTATTCTCAATCGCTTTTCCCATCCTGTTTAATTCCTCTCAGCACTTTACATACCGATGTCCTCGTTGCCCCAGTATCTATTAAAAACACATATTCCTCTTTTTTGAGTACCACATTTAACAAGGGCTCTTGGTGGGACCCTAAAATTAATAGCCCCTGACTTCCCTAATCTTCCTTTTCTTCCATTACGGTGTATATCCATTGCTCTCATTTGTGCTTCCTTTTTATCTGTTTCAGTTTCTAGCAAAGTGCCCCTCCTTACCACACACAAAACATTTCTTACTGTCGCCACTTGGTTTCTTCTATAGGATAAACCCTCTTCCTTGTCCAGAGTGCCTCTACCAATCCCCGGCAAGTGGCTTCCCAACTCCCCGGCCCCTGCCGAGTCCTTTCTTTCTCGAGGCTTTTTGGCTGCTTTAATGACAGACACCATCATCTGACTTTTCTGCCGACTTTTGGCCTCATTCCTATCCACATACACCTTCTGTGCTTCCTTCAGCAGCGTCATTCATTATGGCTGTACTTTATGGTTTATGGTTGTACATTATGGTTGTACATATGGTTGCATGTATGGTTGTACACTCTATAGTTGTACGCTCTATGGTTGTACACTCTATGGTTGTACGCTCTGCCGGCAGCCAGCCCACAACCATAGAGGGTACTCCCAGAGCGGCAACTGCCGGAAGACTCGGCATCCTACCTCCTTGCTTTGGAAGCCGCAGAAAAAATCATGTGGTGGCAGCGGAGATGCTCTGGCTCTGCAGGGAGAGTTAGGCAAGGGCATCGTGAGCCTGGGAGTCGCGCAAATGGGGAGCGGAAAAGC